AAATTGTTCCCCTTATGAGCTGCCTCCCTTTCCTTATTTGCAACTTCAACTGCTTCCTTCTTTACTCGTCTAGCATCAACCTCTCCTTTATTTAAGGAATTATTTTCACTATTGAGAGCCCTAGACTCCTTATAAGGTATTAGTTACCCTTTCCAACTTATTCACGGTGTTACCAACCTTAATCCCAGTAGACTTAGGATTTAAGGTGGAATCCCCAGCCTTGTTCATCTTCTCCTGTTCTTGCACCTTCTTGGATTCCTTTGTTGGTTGTTCCTTCACATTATTAGTGACATTATCATCTTCCTTGCCATCCGTAATTCTCAAAATTGGTTGAGCATTTTCCTCCACCTCCAACGCATCAAATTTGTTATTTGTAATCACTGCCTCAACTTTGGCCTTCCCCTTCCCATTACTCACTTCCTTCTCCTTTGTGTTATCAATAATATAGCCCCTCTTATCACGTTGGTATTTATTTTTTCGTGCTTGCATCCACTCCTGCTTAGCTGGATTAGCCACTGGTTTCCCCACAACTTTACCACTAGATAGCACCTTTGTAGAAGTAGCAGCTGTGCCAATTATCTCTTGTTCTTTCTTTTTGTCATTGCTTTGATCCTCAAACTGCCTCAATTCTAGGTTAATAACTCAACACTCCTCTTCTTTGTGACCTTATTTTTTGTATGATTTACAATATTTAGGATTATAATCACACCTAATTTTGATCTATTTAAAATCCTCGTGTCTAGATTCATCCTCTTCCTCTATAATTTTGATCCTTTGAGGAAAATTTGACAATAAATCCACCTCAACCTTCACTTTAGCACAACTTGGACGAGTTCCATTTTGAGTAGCCAAATCCACATGAAGTGTCCTTCCTACTGCCCTAGCTAGTGAAAACACAAACTCCTTGCCAAAGAAGTTAGGTGGTAAATCTTGAAAGAAAATCCAAGCAATGGCAACAGGAGTTTCCTCACTAGTTTTCCACCATGGATTCCACTTGGTACAACTGTAAGGCCCCGAAAAATTTCGCTAAGTAATTTAGGATTTCGTGGTGCCACGTAGGCTAATTATAATATTTTATGTGTTATTAACATGTTGGTCATCAATTGGACTTGGTAAATAAGTGTACAAGTCTTATGGTAAGTAATTTGGGGCCCAAGGAAAGGCCGAAGCCTAAGTCAAATTGAAATTTCATAATAGGCTAAGATTCCAAATGAGTTTGCACAAGTCCACACTTTGAACGAGCATATCTAAATATGTATAAGGTTTTATGTGATGAACAACCTATCATATGAAACGTCTCCGAGTCTAGTTTTCAAAGCTTCAAACCGTTCGTCATTTGGACATTCCTATACAAATTTATGATCAAATTACCAAAGGCTGGAAAAATGCGATCCTGTGTCGAATCTGCGATCGCAAATATGTCGCATTTTTGACTCTGCGATCGCAGATCTGTCGCAGATTGGGCCAGTGTTGCCCAGTTTTGGGCACCTATTTCGCGATGCATTCTGTGGCCCACATTCTTGTTTTGCGGTCCATTCTGCGATCGCAGACCCAATTTCGGAGGCTTATTTTTCCTATTTTTATAACCCGACCCCATTTTAATATATAGTCTTTGGGGCTTCATTTGGGGTTATTTTCTACTGATTTTAGATAGAGTTGAGAGCATATAGAGAGAGAAGGAGCCTAGCTTCATAATCACCTATCTCTTGCTCAAGTCTTCAAGAATCAAAGAACCCAATCACATGTTCTTCATCTAAGAGGTAAGGTTCTATACATTAGACTTTAATTTCGAGTTTGGGGCATAAGATGGGTTATTAAGGTATGATTCTTGGGTGTAATAGCATTATGTATACATGCATGTACAAATTAGGTTTGTGGGAAGATTGTTGAACATAAATAAGTAAAGATTGGGTTGGGGAATGAAGGAAACCTTGTAAAAGAGATTTGAAATCAAGATGCTCAACTAGTATTTGATAAAATGCTCAAATGAGCTGAAACCATGAATACCTTCCTAATTTGTGTTCAATTTTGTTATGTCTCAAAGTAGATTGGAATTGCTAGAATTTTTGAAACGTCGTAGTAACTTAAGGAAAGCTTAAACAAGGTATGTATGGCTAAAACCCCGTCATTTAGAAATTGAGCTCCATTGGTGCTTGTGTAAATCCAGTAAGACTAAAGTTTGGGTCCTTGCATTGATTGTTATTTTACATGAATTGGTGTTGTAACCTTATATGCATGAAAGATGTGTCTCAACATGATCAATGTGCTATCTTGATAACTTGAAAGGGGCAAAAGGTATGAATTATGTATTGAAATGCTTAGACCTTAAATTTTGATTGAAGTTGCATTGTTGTGCCATCTACGTGAAGTCTTATCTATGCTTACAATTTAAATTGCTCTTGTGTGCACCTATTGTCCTAAATGGCAAAGCTAATATTGAAATTGGGAACGATGTAAAATGCGGCCTAGTGCCAAGAATGATGTGATAAGTTGTGGCCCCAAGTGCCTATGAAATGATATATGTGAAACGAAATGATTAATGAGAAGGGAACAACGCCTTGGTAAGGCGGCCTAGCCGATCGGGCCGAGATCGGACTCCGCTCAAGATAGCGGTGGTATTGTGAATGAATTCCGAAAAAGGGAAAATGAGATTGTGATTGAAGTATATGTCTCAAATGAGGCAACCTAGCCGATCGGGTCGAGATCGGACTCCGCTCAAGATAGCGGTGGTATTGTGAACAAATGATGAATAGTGTGAAATGCCCCAAACTAAAGGCTATGGAAACATGATGTGAAAATTGTATGATTCTTTATTATTGATAATGTTGTGATCGTTTAAAGCTTTTGAGTTATACTTGTGATTTCCTTATTTTTGTATGAAAGTTCTTTCTAACTAGATGGTGTTTAGTTATACATGCTAGTGCTATTCGATGGTACTAACGTCCCTTTTGCCGGGGGTGCTACGTCTTTAAAGGGATGTAGGTGTTTCTATAGCAGGCAGTGTTGGTCGCAGCTAGTGCAGCATCATTCTTTCAGCTGACTTGGTGAGCCCCACTTCGTTTCGGGGTCCTGTTTCATCTGTTCATCATGTACTTTGTATTTGAGGTATAGCCGGAGCCTTATTACCGCCATTTCCATATTACATTACTCTTCAGTTGTGTTTAGAGGGTCCGTAGACAGGTTGTGGGTAGTGTCGGGTATTAGAATTAAAGTACAAATATTGATGTTTGGCAAAGATTTATAAAACTTGTAATATTTTGATAATTATGTTTTAAGCTGCTAATGGAAAGGAAATGGAAGTTGTTAATGAAATACTTACTATGTATGATTAATTGAGTCCATCTCCTATTTATTCATGAATTAGTTTGGGTAGAATGAAACCTAACAGGCTTGCTCAGTCGGGTTTACCCGGTTGAGCGCCGGTCATGCTTCTCGGTTTTTGGGGCGTGACAACAACGCATTTTCCACATCTCATTTTGTATTTTTAAAAGAAAAAGCAGGCTTGGACAAAAGATGAATATAATCCTCCATTAATGAAAGCTTTATTAACACATGACTATCTTCAATGAACCCAACTGAACACTGCCCTTTAAGCTCGCATTGAATAGGAATTGCTTTACGTAAATCATGAATCACAGGCTTACCATAAGAAAATTTCCCCAAGACATGTTTAAACCTTGTCGCGCAATGGATTGACGAACCTCCTGCTTGTTCCAACGAATAATGGGCTCACCATGGAGATATTCTATAGGTTTTAGGGTTACGATGGGTTGCACCTGCATGGGCGCATTTAGTGAAGCTGGTTGTAATAACTTCGCATAGGTTTGGCTTGGATTAGGGTTTGTGGTTGTTGTTTAGGGTTGTGGAAGAGGTAAAGACGACTGACCAGCCTTAGGAGGAGGCTGGCCAATGGCCGAAGCAGCTACGGAAACTAGGTTTAGGCGTCAAGTTTTAGGATTTTTTCATGAGAGAGAAGAAAGCTCATCCTACAACCACTACAAAAAGTTTAATCATATATGATCGATTTAAGTTGGTTGTGTGCAAAATATAAAAAATCACATATAAATATGTAAAGTTATACACAGGCGATGGTCTCATATTGCGAGAGTTTCGTGAGCTATACGGATGAAACTTAGCTAGCGTTTGGCCATAGATTCCCAAATTTATTTTGAAAAATTTGATTTGGGTGAAGTTTGGTTTGAAGATGAAAATGTGTTTGGACATACGTTTTCAAAACATATTTTCCAAATTTATTTTGGAAAAACATGTTTATTATTAGTGTTTGTAAAGATTTTGGCCCAAAACCAGCTATTGAGCTGGTTTTGGGATTTGGGATTTGGGATTTTGCCAAAATATAGGCAAAATCTATGGCCAAACATGTGTTTGCCAAATAAAACCCAAGTTTATTTTGGCAAAATCTATGGTCAAACGGGTCCTTAAAATGATGGATTTGCGGATGAAAAGCACCTAAGCGAACTGTACTTTTATGCAATTATCTCAAATATATTTCAATTACTATGCATTTACTATTTTGTCAATGTAATTATTTATTTTTAAATTTAAATGAATGTTGCATTATTTATCTCGACGTCAATAGCTAAATATACGTAATAAATTCTTATTTTAAATTTTATACACTTTTTATTAATAAACACCAAAAATATGTGCGACGCAAGTACACTAAAGTTAGTCTCGTAATACCAGGCTTGGGTTTATACTTTACTAGTGCATTTTTCCGCGCTTCGCGCGGTCATTAAACAAAATAGTAAAAATATCATGTGATCCTGTTATAAACTTAATTGAGATAGAAGAGATACGATTTTGATGCATTATACACATACATAAATGTTTCCTCCTGTTAGGTACAAAACTCACAATATCACCAAAAAAAATTAACAAAATTGTATATAAATAAAACAGTAAATATTATATAGTCAAAGCCTGTAAAACTCGAAAATGGTATACATTAGTTATCGAGTATTGCAGTATTCTCGTGGTTGTGCATTGATTCTATGTAAATTTTTATAAAGAAATATTGTTTGTAAATGAATACATGAACACTCCTATAATTTAAAATCTAGAAAGAACAAAAAGAAGAGATACACTATATTCAAAAACAAATTTGTACCTGCAGAACTTAATAAAAGCAAATGTAGAGGACTGTAAATGAATGTCAAAAGAACACTGAGAATGAGATGTAAGAAATTAAATGTAGAATTAAATACTTTCCAGCTATAGCTCATTCCAGATGTTCACAAGACAGCCTTCAGTTTTCAAGGTGCAGAAAGAAAATAAAATGCTCATTTTCCAGCAGAATAAATCTTCTTGATTTCCTTCTGTTTCATCCCGAAACCTTCTATATGATATTAGTCTTGTAGTAATCCGTAGTCTTCATTACTAATATCAAAGTAATGTGTGCTTCAAACATATTTAACCAAGCAAGTAGGATAAAAGCATGTAACACTGCTTCCCAATACAAGCCAATTCTTTGACTGTTGATCTTGTAATTCCATTGTTGCATTCAGCATGACTTTCAACTTCTAGTTAAAATATGACTTAATAGTCATTCATCGAACTCCTCCAAATTAAATTTGCCATTCTTTGCATTTTGCTTGGTAAACCTCAATTTTGGAGGTATGTGCCTCCCGAAAAGGTCTGCACACAAAAATACTCTTCTTCAGCATCAAAATGAAGCTAAAACTTCTAATTGAATGATCATGAGAACACATACCCTGCAGCCTAATGACAATTAATGTATGGAAGAGATACTCAAAACCACTTCAGATTTTTTGTGATCCTCTTCATTCATCTCGTGTGTATATGCCCCTAATCTGTGCAGAGCTGCATTTCAATGATTCAGGATTAGTAATAAATACTATATCTATAAAGTCACAAAATATTTTTCAAGAAAGAAAAGGAACATAAATAGTTAATTATGGACTGCTTGTGATAGAGGAAATGATAGAGGGAATGGTATCAGATAATGAACAATGCAGCTTATGGCAGAGTAGATGTTTTTCTTAGACACCTGCATAATGGCATACGAAATTAGACAGAATACTCCATTTATTTAACTGCGCCACCTAACAGAACTTTTTGAATAAAAAATTGCAAACCTAGTACATATGGTAATCTGACCCCAGGACATCATGACATTATCAAGCGATATTTTTCAGAATAAACTCCATACTATTCCCCCATTATTCAGAATAAATTTCATATCTTGTGTTGTAAGCTGGATAATGATAACCAAAATTTTCTTTGAAATGTTGCAGAATAGGCAATTGAGTAGTATGAAGAATGATGTTTTACGAGGAAAAGCAAGACTCGTCGAAAAAATATAAAGGAAAACCAAAGATGGAAAAAACTCTAGTAAAAATGAACTTCAAAGCAAATTCTCTATTTAGGTAGCTATGGACCAGGATAATACAACATGATTATGAGATAGACGGCATGAATTTATTGAAATATTAAATTCATACGTTAAATCAGTTGCTTCAAATGCCAACAAATGAAAAGATTCTTTGAAGGTCCATCGGAAAACAAAAAAGGCTAATGAAATGTTGAAGATTGACTCATTATATTTAGCTTAGCATTATATGGCATCATAATTGGATGCCCTTGAACAGCAGAAGCTGAGAATGATCTAGTGAAAGAGAAGTATCCAATAATGATACCGTAAAGGAAAACATAAGTTAGAAAATGCAAGCCAGAACTCTCCTCATCTGCCAGCCAAAAAGAATAAAAACTAATGGAGCCATATGCAAAACTTCGATAGTACAGAAAGTAATTAAATAGAAGTAGATCTTAATACAAAAAGTCTACTAAAAATAAAGAGTGGAGAAGGAAGACATTACCAACTAATGATGATAATATGGTTGATGTTTTGGTCCAATTACCCAGAAAAATGATTCTCTTCCAATTTATGATCAAATCTGCAATAAAGTGAAGCCAAATGACCAAAAGCTTGAAAATTTGGTGACGACATGTACTGAAAAACAGTCCAAAATCATTTTCCCTATTAAAGAACACCAAGAGAGCAAAGAGTAAAGAATATTATATTTGAAGCAGATATTTAGATCAGAAATTTCAGATTAAATAGACTTTTTAGTTGTTGATCGATTTAAAAAAAAATTACCAACCTTTTCCCCCCTTGAGTTACCACTTGATTGTAAACTAATGATTATGTTAAAATTAAATTATTCAACTCTTTCACAAGCAATTTTTATTAGCAAAAACCAATCTTTCATCAAGCACAAATAAATATACTTGGTTCTGAGAAATCCAACTAAAACCAATATACAAATTGTCAAAACATGATAATTAGTGAAAAGAGTATCCTTTGCGCAATGTGTACAACATGAAACACAGAAATAGAAAAGGGTGTACCTTTTCCAAATTTATTAAAGGAGCCATGGTGAAACCGAATTGTGCCTTTTTGCTCTTGCAGTTCCTTTTCAGGTTCTCCTTTGCTATTCATAATGATGAACGTTAGTATGCCTTCAATTTTAAGAATTATTTTGTTGACCCTTAATTTTCCATAGGTTCAGCACTAATTAGAGAACTTTTCATGAAAGAGAGAGAAGATAGATTAGTATTCGCAATTGCCATCATTATTGAAAGGAAAAAGACATGGTTTGGTCGAAACTGATGGGCTACGATATTCAACTCCAAAATCATATCTTTTGGAGGGGAAGAAGAGGACTTGGATAACGACGAAAATGCAATAATATAATAAATTTGGTAATATTGAGTTCACGTCCATCAAAATTATACCGGGGTATTTTTTCTCCTGGTCATTACAATGTTGTAGCAATGTTAAATGCATATGTCGCTTCAAGCAGAACATAAAAATGTAAAGTAGATTGTAAAACTTAATGAGTAAACTATAATCTTTATTGAAAGATATTGTCGAACTTCGTTACCAAAATGATAATATATAATTCAGATAAATAACACCTTTAGTTATTAATTAAGCCAATAATTATGGTAATAGTATTCAACAATGTTTAGAGCAGTAGTTATCGATTGTGCAGAAATAGTAGTTATGAATTGTGCATAAATTGTAGTGGCGAAGATTATTTGGAGTGCACCTCATTCTCGTAACGGCATTTGTCTTCACAATCCTTGTGTGTCCACAGCAATACAATTATTAGTCAAGCATATCGGTATCTCTACCCCGCACAGGCTCAAAGCATAGAGTTATTTTTGGCTGTATGTTATTCTTATATTTGCCGTACAATAACAAAATTGAAGCGACTTTCGTACTTCCTAATTAATGTGCAACGGTTGAATTATTGAGTCAACAACAGTAGTTGCTAATTCAAGGGGCAAGAAACATCAGTTTTTTCCAATAGAATCCGAGTAGGCAAATCTAAATATATTAGTTACTCATGATATCAAAATTATGTCGTGGTATTTTTTTAGAATAGAGTAGGTAAATAAGATTACAGTGCAATCGTGCGAACACACAAAAAAGTGGGAAAAAAATTAAAATGATGGGAAAAAATAATAAAATAGGGCATCGGCACATTGGCACTTCGCATAGAAGAGAATACTCATTCACTAACAACATAGACCACAAATATTAATTGGTTGCATACAGAAACACGAACCCAATCCCAATTATGCTCTTTCAATAGAATTTTAGTAGGCAAATATATCATTGATTAGATTAGAATTGCTTAGCATAATAGGTAAAAATTAAGTTTGAAAGAATTACATACCGGTATCTATTGATCGAACAAAACTAGTTGCAGATTCCAGGTGCCAGTACGGCATTTTTTCAAACAGTTCATGGGCGTAAAAAAAAGAATGGAGAGAAGGGTACAAAAGAGATGGAGGAGTAGATAAAAAGTGAGAAAATAGAGAGTAGAGAATCGGTGTGAAGCGGTTGCATCTGAAGGGGTTTGTATATTGTGGGTTTTTTTTTTTGTTATTCGCGGGTAGTATCTCTTTTAATTAAAACGCCAAATAAGCGTGGAGGCAAGAAAAGGGATTTGCTGTTGAATGGGAGCCCCACGTCACCGGCCTTAGGGCCCTCTACTATATAAACTAGATGGCTGGTGCCCGTGTTGTGCACGGATATAAGCCGATATTATTGTACCTCGGCATTGTTGTACCAAAAAGGTTCATACTTATTTCAATTGTTTAGCATAATTACCATTTACATATAAAGGAAACTTATGATTATGTTGATTAGATATTTACACAATAGCTTCAAATGATGTACATTCATTTCAGTAACTATGTTATACACGATATGAAATATGCAAGGGCAACTGTACAAAAGAAACTGCACTTCTGGCAAAAGTCAATCACTCAATTGACCTTCATTGCTATAAGTCTTCTTTTTGCAATAATATTTGATGAAAGTATCAAAACCAGCCGCATGTCCAATTCCAAGATTTTAGATTCGCTGGGAGAAAAGAAGAGGAAAAAGATGTTAAACCTAGGTAGAGTTGCTAAAAGTTGAATATACAATTTTGAGTGAACTCTATCCCAGATGCAAATTGTACGTAAACGCGCCCCAAAAAGAGCAAAACCTGTAAGCAAGTGTAGAATGCACGAATGAAGACGCATAGAGTGCAAAATACAGGAAAATATACAAAATATAGAAGAATATGATGCAGAAATTGAAAAGTAAGTGCATACTATACAAATATGGAGCAGAAACTGACAATAGTATAGAAAACAAGAAAAAATAATGCAGGAACCCCACCCCCCACCCCCCAGCCCACCCAAGAAAAATGAACAATTGAAACTTTGCTGGGAAGCTAACAGAGTATGGGAAGAACAGTTCTCTGGAATGAGGGTCAACAGGCATTTTGCATCAGTGGAAAGTCGTCCCGCTTCTCTTTTCGCAATCGGTATTACCTATGAAGTTGAGATCCTATCCTAAAATATCATTCATCAGTCCTAAAATTTCCTTTGTCTATTAGACAAACTACCTAAAGTTCTATCAGATTTTGTCACTATTAGACAAAGCCAACCTAAAGTTCTTGTTTAATATTTGGATAATAAGTTCTTGTTCTTTTATATGAAGCTAATAATGACCACAAATTCTATCAATACTTAGGTTATTTAAGTAGTTACAGCTAACGGCTTCATGTGTTACATAATATGTTCCAATCAAGCAATTATTCAATTAAGGCATAGACAATGTCAACTTTTTTGAATTGTAGACAATGTCAACTTTCTTCAACATTTTTTCAGGGGAATGCTCATAAATAGTGCACAAATGAAATAGATCAACTCTGGAACATCGTTTCTAATTTTTTTGGATAGGTGAATCTATTGACACATACTTCTTGTTGGAGAGTGCATAAAGTGTTAGCATCCCCTTGGGAATACCACAACGCCCGCAGTACCCTAGTGTCTTCCTGACAACATGTATCCACACCATTTAAAAGACACAAAAAACAATAGCAAATAACTTCTGAAATTTTCAACAACAAAATACCAACTAACCTTAAGGAATGATCTGGTGGTGGAAACTTCTATTGGTACAAGTTTCAGTGAAATAGGTTACACCATCCCGCCTTAGTTGAGAAGTAATTTGGTCTCAGTTACTTTTCTTCTTGATCTGAATGTATTTTGACTAATGAAACGTATTAACACATGAAAAGTTGCAACATGTTTGCACATTTTCAATCTAAATTGTACGGCACATGTCGGAGGCTATTACTTATAGCAAGTTTATCACTTTCAACCATGTCAGGTCAATTTAGCCCAGCTTTATTCCATCATTAGAGTGAACCAAAAGGTATACGTACTATTAAAATGGAGATTTAGTTTCACAGTGCACAGTACACAACCTATTCGAATCAACATGTTTTTCTCGAAAATCGAAATTTGCTCCATATCAAATTGGTTCCAGAGATACAAATTAGTGATTGGAAAATAATTTTAGGTTTTACTAAATTTTCTTATCAAGTCTTTACTGCTAAAGCAGCTATCAAAAAGGCTTTACTGCTAAGATGATTATCAAAAAGTATTTATTGCTAAGGCTTGCATATGCAACATAACAGTTATAAATGCAATTAAATTAGAGAAAAAGAGGGGGCCGGGCTTCCACTCCACAAGCATATGGCAACAAAAGTTCTTATGTTTTCCCCTTGAACATTTACTATATATTTTACAAAAATATCTAGCCAACCAATGAAATGTAAAAGTGTATTTGATTAGGTAGCTGAGCCATAACTGAGAATAAAGTTCATCATCAGCTCAAACTATATATATTCATGTTTGTGTATGTTTATCATCTAAATAGCTCTTTGTATTGACATTTAACTACCAAATTTTACATTAATTTTAATAGATATCTAGCTGTAGTGACATCATTCTAAAATATGTATGAATATAGAACATTAATGGATTCAAGTAATAACTAAACCAAATGCAATATAATTTCTGAATCCAGAAGAGAATGCCATCAATAAAATAAACCAAGATTTAGTCTCTCGAAGAGGCGTGAGCTTTGCAGACACTTGGCTGGGAGAAAAAGAAATGGAAATCTTACCCAATTTATGTCAAGAGCTTCTTTTAGCACCTTCAAGTCACTCCTTTTTCCCTAATGGTGGGGTTTAGCTGCAAAAATAAAATAACTTCAACCCTACTTCACTATATAGCTAACAATTGTTTGTTCACTTTCTATAACAGTGTGAAAATTTAACATGGCTTAAAATAGCATTCACTAAATTGTTTGAACGCATACGTAAGGCATGACTTTTATATAAGCAAGCTAGATTATGCAGTAACTTTAAAGTGAACTCCACACAATGACCTCACAGGAGATGGCACATATATCAACCAACAAACAGATTCGAGAGGATAAGCAATCTTTCAAGTTTATCCCAGAATAATCAGGATTCGGGATAAGAGCTGACGAATAGGTTCTGAAGCTAAACTATACAGTTTAGCATCAAGGTTACATAGTGCTTATTAATTGACATCGTGGCTGACTTCTTCTCAAACACAGATATCTATTCTGCAATTACAGGTTGCACAAAATAATTGTGAGTTATGATTGATGTAGAAATGGACTCTTAGAAAACCAAAAAGAAAAAGATATAGAAGACAGAAATCTTTGCTTCTAGATAATTGATAAGAAAATCTTTGCTTCCAGGTAAAACAGATATGACTCTAGATAATGAAATGTGTAGCTATTTGCAGCATGATGAACACCTTCATTACTATCTTGTTTCTTATTTAATAATAGTGAAAGCTCTCAAATAGATGCAATTTCCATTTGTTCCAAGGAAAATCCCATGAGTCCCCTCTTGCATAGAATATAGTTCCATTTATTCCAACTTCCTTGAAAATCCCATGAGTCCTCTCTTGCATAGAATATAGGTGCAACTCTCAGACTATCGATGATAGTTTCACGAACCCAAAAACCAACAGACTCTCAGTTATTTTCACAATAACTATCCTAAGCTTAAAAAGATGTCTGCATAACCTCATTGCCAATGAAAAGAAACAGATATGTATTTTTAATGATTTTCTGGCACGAATAAAATTTCACACACTGATGTAAGTGCTTTCACAGCAAACATTCGCGCTTTGGTTTCTCTAAAATTTGCATCTCTATAAATTCACATAATATAAAGCATAATTGTCCATCAAAAAAGAAATGTGCAGCTTCGTTCCTTACCAGTATCCAGTTAAATTAGAAGAGGCACCTCTGAAAACCTCAATTTCAAGCTTCAGAAGGATATGTGTACTTATTTAGCTAGAAACTTAAGCCTTTACTCCCCGTAGCCACAAGATAAACAGGAGCAAAGCACTTTACTGCTCACTATTCAAATTACTAACATTGAGTAAGTGCCAATATCAATACGTTAATATGATATTATCTCGCCTTTTCCATTCCCCTACGGCGTTATATTCCCATTAATTGCACTAAAGAGAAAGGTTAAATGAGATATTTTATCATTTAGAGATTATTATAAAGATAATTTAATCGCTACATCAATTACATTAAAGTAACTACTCATGTTGATGTCACATTAACTTTCATTAGTCAAGTATATTTTTCCCCTTTTTCTTTGTTATATATTATTTGTCTTGGGTAGTTAAGTACCCTTTCATATTATAAGTGACACAAGCACACTCAAGTTAATTTGATCTAACAATGAATCTTTCTTCACAAACATCCAAATTAAATTAATAACCTTCAAAGAAAGGAAAATGTATATAAAACATAGAACTACTCCCCCAACATCATTTTATTCAGCAGATCCTACAATAAGTTTAAGGAGAAAATAACTAAATTCAATCTAATAATACACCTTAACCAATCAAAATGTGTGGCAAAAAAGTCTAACCTCATAACTGTGACATTTAGCAAAGTTACCCAAGTAAATTTCAGGAATTCTTCAAATGCATGATCGTTGAACTTTTTTTCATCTTGGTGAATCGCTTCAAACTCGGCCAAAAGCTACTGAGGTTTCAAGCTCTTTTTCCATAAGCTTCAACCCTGTAAAGCCAAAAACCAATCTAAATAACATCATATACATATTCTTTTTAAAACATGATCTACTGATCTAAGTCCGCGCCAACAACATTGCAGACAACACTAACTGAATCTTTCTTAGAAAATAAGAACACAACATGGGGGTATGCCTTGAAAGAAGCAACAATGTCTCATTGCGGTAAAAGAATATTGATTATTTCCCAGATTTCAGGTTAACACTCAGGTCCTTATTATTGAACCACAGTCTCGTACCTTGCATTTTTTGAGCTATTTTACCACCAATGTTGAAAAAATAAGCAATATAAAGGCAACCGAAATTATTGACAGAACATAAATGCATGCATTACTGACCTTTGAGGATTTCGTTCATATAGCCTATCTTTATTTTCATTGAGTTCCTTTTAGTGCCAGTTCTTGCTACCAAATTGACACAAAATATTCAGAAGTAGACATGCATAAGTAGAAAATAACATAATCCACCAGTAGCAAACACAGGAATGAAATATCTATAGATAGTGAAAAATAAAAAATAATATTGTACATATCTTAAATACAACAAAAATTTCTTACCTTGTGAATTATGGTAAATACTGCATCCAAGATCTCACTATTGAAAGGTTTAAATACAACATATTGATATTTCACCGGCATTTTTTCATTCTGTTTCTCACCGACATCAACATCATTGCCAGAGCTTCAAAATATTCATCATCGCCTGAAGCTAGAAGTTCAGCGATTTAGTTTTATCTTTCTGTAACCTTACTTGCATAGAGAAGTCTTTTGAATAGTAGAATTTATTTTCACATTACTACTTGTACACCTATACCTGGCCAATAAAAAATTAGGTAGACGAAAAAAGAATCATCAGTGATAGCTTTTTGACCATCTCAACTTTACTACCATGGCCAATTACCAATAGCGACACATCTAACTGAAATAACAAGTAAAATGCAAAAAGCTACTATTGCCTTTTAGCCTTCTATATTTGTATAACTTATATGAAAAATTTCCCCAATTCAAAGAAATATAAAATTTTGCATAGTTGAAGTTAGTCCTATTTTACTCGATAATATAAAGGAGATCAAAAGAAATTCTTACCAAATAGTTTTGTGTCGTTTCAGGCATATCGCTGAACACCTTGAGTTCATTAGTTTTCAGAGTTTAAAATCTCACCATCTTGAGTAAAAATTGAAAAATAACCGAAAGAATAAAGTAAAAGAAGAGTAAAAAAATAAAAAAAAATTGAGATGGAAAATATTACCAACTATAAAATATATTAAGATTTACACATATAGAACACAATGAAAGTACATTTACAAATAAACCGATATTATCACCAATTAAATTTTTGTTACTGTAGCACAGACCCGATCTTCCAACAAAAAGCAAAATACAATAGATTTTTGCATCGACATTTCGATTTACAGTTAGTAATTAGTGCCAAAAGACGAACATATATCAATGATGATTAAGCCAAAATAATATAAAATTATATGCACCAGGTACAATCTCAAACATGCATGTGCAGATCAGATAGAGTTACTGACATGTATGTAAAAGATCTAGCTAGAAATTAAAACTAAAATTGAAGAAACAATATTTCAAAGGACTTCCGAAGTGATGGTCAGAAATCACTGCAAGAAAGGAAAACGGGGGGAAACTTACCAGAAGTAACGAATGAAATAAAAGCTAGAAAATTAGAAACCGTAAATGGATGATACAAAAAGAAATTTTGAGGAGTGGGAGAAAGATAAGAATATAGAGCTTGCTGGTAGATATGAACAGTGAGAAGAACAAGGGTTAGTTCCGTGGTAACTTCAAACATAAAACACAAAGTACACGTGTTTTGCGATAATGAACTAAGAGGGAATACCAATTTACCCCTAAAGTGGATTACATTTACGATAAAACCTTTCATCGTACACACAAACCTTTGTTTATTATACAGTTACTAGATAGGGTTGCCCGTGCTATGCACGGGCCCAGCGTATTATGTATTGTGATTTTTCGTTTTTGTCCAAGTATTCCAATGCCAATAGAATAGTGCTCCTTCCATAGAAATGAAAAAAGACAATCGTATAAATAGTAGGCTAGTACAACATATGCAAAAGAGGACGTAAAAACACTCTACTACTCTATTGCTTTCATGTACCTATTACACAGATTGTATGGTACATGAACAACAACAACAACAACAACAACCCAGTATAATCCCACTTAGTGGGGTCTGGGGAGGGTAGTGTGTACGCAGACCTTACCCCTACCCTGGGGTAGAGAGGCTGTTTCCAAATAGACCCCCGGCATCCTTCCCTCCAAGAAATTCCCACCTTGCTCTTGGGGAGACTCGAACTCACAAACTCTTGGTTGGAAGTGGAGGTTGCTTACCATCACAGCAACCCCTCTTGTCTATTGTATGGTACATAAAGATCTTAAATATTCAAGAATTGACTTGAGTCTAAGATCTATATATGTACTTCCATGAACAGGCCAAAGGGTTGTCATATGAGCATAAATGCCTAAACATATATATCAAGCACATATTCTTGTATCAAAATATCATGAAATCTCGGCATAATTAAGAAAACTATAATAGAAAGAGATTTAAGATCTAGAATAGCTTATAATGAAACATTTTAACGGCATCCAAAGCCCCTGCAGATCCCACCTGATATAGATTAATCTCAAATCAGTTTTTACCACCCAAATCATATTCCAACATTATGTATCTTGAAGAGATGGGACATCGTATAAACTTGATCTTCTTGGACCATTTAGAAAGTTTAGGTTGGTCCTTTGTTTCTCTTACACACTTGAATCTCATTTGTAGAATCATTAGTATTATATGTTTTCAGTTGCTCTACAGCTTATTTATCCATATATCTTCATAGATCCAATCACCAAAGAAGTGATTCTGCCGATTTCTGTTGTTTTAGCTCATTTAGGAGAGAACATGAGTTACCATTAATGTTCAGAATGCACGGAGCAGCTAAGAAGAGACACATTGCGATATGTAAACTTGAGAATTAAGCGAAAGTCTGTAGCTTGTTTCCAATACTTAACACGATGTTTGGGTTGCGCGACCACTTCAGCATTAAGTCACTCCTAATATTAAGTGCATAATAAAACATCAAGGACAGACAACCTAAATTTTATGAACAAATAAGTACATCAACATGGACAAAGATAATATGACATACATACATGTAGTTCTAACAAAACCACCTGAAAAGAATAGAATTGATCTTCAGGGTTCATTTTCAAGGAGCATTTCTGCTAGCATCCTTGAACAAATATTTTGTTGCTTTAACAATTCTGCAATGTACCACAAGCAGTGGCGGAGCCACATTGAAGCCAGGGGTGTCAAGCGACACCCCTTCACCGGAAAATTATACTGTTTTGTTAGATAATTTTTTTTAGTTTGTGTATATTTACTACACGTTGACTCCCCTTGACTTTTCGATGTACTTAATTATTTATATTTTGACAACCTTGAGGAAATTGTGCCAGAACCGTAGGAAGGAACCATAGGTCAAAGAGAACAGAGGGTACCCGACGATGTAAGTCTTCTGGTTTCTTTATTTGCTAAATAGATTTTGCATTTTTCTTCCCGCTTCCTTGTTAGCTGGGAACCCCCTCCTCTATGAAGCAGAGAATGATCTTATCCATGTCTACCAATTTCATCCTTAATAGGCATTTCAAAACCTATTCATCCTCCAAAAACATAGCAATAATTGACAATTTGATATGCATGCACAAACCTTTAGATACTCAACCAAATTGAGAAAGAAAAAATCGGAATAAAAATCACTAGAAATAAAAAATCATAGAAGACACCGGACAAACTGGAATCAAGAAGGAAAACTTTGACACGAACTCAAAAGCTAAGGCCGAAAATAGGAGAAACAAATAAATAACATATTTGGGATTTCTTTGAAAACTAAGCGAAAAGGAAGAGAAAATAAAAAGAAGAAAAGCAGAAAGATTAAGCAGAGAAACGTACAGATTGCAAAACAAAATGAGAAAAAATAACAGTAGAGAAAAGAAGAAAATCACCAGAAAAGAGAAGCCGGAAGTGGAAGAGGACAGAGAAAGTGAGAAATGAAAAGAAGATGACCCAAAGTTACTTCCAAGAAGAAGCCAAAGTTTCACAGTGGGTCTGTCTACTACTAACACGTGGAAAGCTAATCAGGATGTTAGTTACCATTTTGCCCTTGGACGACGAAACATAAGAGTAGAACTTTCACTTATTAATAAGTTAAAATAAATTAGTTATTTAGATAGGTCAGAAACCCTAATTTAAGAATCTGGGCCCTCCTAAATTTAACTGTAAATTAAAATACCAAGATATTCCTTCTGTTACCGACTTACCCTTCACCGAACAGTCTGCACACGCCACACGAACTCAATCTCCTTCCCCATATTTATTACTCCACAGTCCACACCCCAAGCGCTTAGTTTATTCAGTTTCAGTTCATTAAATTAAATTGGATAACAGAAGCTCCCTCCTTTCATCTGGCAAACTGTAAAAAACATGGCTCTGTTTCATAGCCGCATTCCGTTTTCAGCATCTGCATCTCTTTCTGCAAAAAGAGACCTTACTAAATTGTTTCTTGGAAGTAACCCACTTGCCAATATCACCCAAAAAAAGTTTTCAACTCTTCATTATGCTTTGACCAATTCCTCCAATAAGCACTCATCCATATCCACATTTAGTGAGGTAATAAAAAGGGAAACTTCTCTTTAAAAAATACAATGCTGAATTGGGTTTTTCTTATTGTGATTAAAGTTTGTTCCTTTTTTTGATTGGTTCAGTTGATCGAGGCTTTAATTAGTGGGAAAGACTTGACGGAGTCTGAAGCAGAAGAATCTCTTGATTATTTGTTGGATGGTGCTGATGAAGCTTTAATTAGTGCTTTTCTTGTTCTTTTGAGAGCTAAAGGTGAAACCTTTGAAGAAGTAAGTTCCTTCTTTAACTATTCCCATATTAGTAAAGGTTTATGTATACCCTTTGAATCATAATTTAGGTGAAATAAATATTTTAGTACAGTATTCCCTTTCTGATGAAATTTTTTTCAGAAAAATCTATGCTTTTTGAAGAACATGCCCTAATTTAAAATATACTGTAAAGCTTCCATTTGGATGTACAATTCTCTGCCTATGAATCTGATTTCACAAAACCAGAATGTCTTTATTCGCTCCTTCAGTAATCGAGCTAATGATGATAATTAGGTAGTGGGATTGGCAAGGGCAATGATAAAGCATTGCAGACAAGTGGAAGGCTTAGGTGACGCGGTTGATATTGTTGGAACAGGAGGGGATGGCGCAAACACGGTGAATATCTCAACAGGTGCTTCAATACTTGCTGCAGCTTGTGGTGCAAAAGTAGCCAAGGTTAACAGAGCTCTTTTTTGTTGTCCAAAGTTATTTAATTTCACTAAAAACTGTGGACATTTGAGGCTAAAAATTTGTGGGATTAAATTGCAGCAAGGTAATAGGTCGAGTTCATCCGCTTGTGGGAGTGCAGATGTATTGGAAGCACTAGGCATTGCCATTGAGCTGGACCCTGAGGTTGGTGATATTGCTGTTCTTGGCTGAAAAATGTTGGTAGTTGAGGACTTTTAATATTCTATTGTAGTTTTAAGATTTTTTTTTTTTATGAAAAGAGAAAAGTATGCTGTAGTTTTAAGAAATGAAGGTTTAAAAATGAAGTTTGCTATTGCATTAGTTAATATTTGCTTTATAAGGAGAAACACTAGATGTGACGTTCACCAAATCAAATTATTAACCTAATTTAACTGCTGAGCCATCTAACAACCATGCATTTATTCTTTGTTACTGGCTTCAGGGAGTGAAAGAGTGTGTAACTCGAGCTGGAATCGGTTTCATGATGGCTCCAATATATCATCCAGCAATGAGGATTGTCAGACCTATCAGGAAAAAGCTGAAAGTAAAGACAGTGTTCAATATCTTGGGGCCTATGTTGAACCCAGCAAGAGTGCCATTTGCTGTAGTTGGAGTTTACAAAGAAGACCTGGTACATTTTCAACTGTTGAATTACACTAATATCACTTGTTCTATGAATGTGGCTTTAAGAATCTTGTAGTCTTAAATTATGTGAATTGAGGTGCTAAATTTTCTGGTCTTATCTTCATTCTGCCCTTTGGTTCATAGCTTTCTGACCTGTATCAATGTTATTCTTTATGTGTTGTGTACATTCATTTAGTGAATGAAACATCTCTTGTTGTAGGTCCACAAAATGGCTAAAGCAGTCCAGAGATTTGGCATGAAAAGAGCATTGGTTGTTCACTCAGAAGGCCTAGATGAGATGAGTCCTCTTTGTATGGTCCCCTTCCACGACACTAGTAAATATGTTGTCTTTGGTAACATTGTCCTTTTTAGTTTGACTTTGCTTGTATATCTTTTAGTATGACAATTCATTTTGCAGGCCCTGGATTAGTCCTTGATGTCACACCAGACAATATTGAGAAGTTCTCCTTTGATCCGTGTAAGTAACTCATGAAATCAGAAAAAGGGCAGCCCGAAGCCGGATGTATTTATTGCTTCGCACTGATAACAAGTGAATGCCGCCCTAAGTATTTGGTGAACCCTGCAGTAAAGAATGATGCAATATGATAAATGTGTTTTTCACTAGTCATATAACATTGTCTCTTTGGGATAGGCTGCCTACATCACACCCCCTTGGGATGCGGCCTTTCTCCCGGACCATGCGTGAACGCAGGATGCTTCGTGCACCGGGCTGCCCCTTTTTTTATTTTTATATATAACATTGTCTCTGTGAAAAAATTAATCTGACAAGATTATTCTTCAATAGTGGACTTTGGCATCCCGCGTTGTACTCTGGAAAGCTTGCGAGGTGGAGGTCCAGATTACAATGCCAAGATGCTCAAACACGTGCTGTCCGGGGAAAAAGGGCCGATTGCTGATGCATTTGTAAGTTCCTTTGTCTGTTATGCTTCAAATATCCTTATAAACTTATGTGATTGATGTAGCTTGTTGTCAGATTTAAGGCTCCTCCTTATAAAAAGATTGACAGCGCACTTGTTTCCATTTTCTATCATGTCATTTCACCTTGAAAGTTCTTACATTATCTATCAAACAAATTCACAGGCACTAAATGCAGCAGCTGCTCTCCTGGTGAGTGGACATGTTAAGAATCTGGCTGAAGGAGTTGCATTAGCTCGTGAGACACTAGTCTCCGGCAAAGCGCTGAAGACACTTGATCTATGGGTAGAGGTTTCGAATGTAAGGAGAATTTCACTGTAATTTCCTTAGATAGAGACTTGATCACATAAATTCATACTATCTTGTTTACTAAATTCCAGGAGGTGAAGGAAGCAGTACCTCAGGTCGCTTGATCGACCTTCTGCATGAAATCATTGAAAATGCCAAACTGACCATGTTAAGTGCATTTGACCAGGCAGAGATATTCTTACGGCTCAACTTTGCTGCTAAGTTATCGTTAACAGATTCAAAATCAGAGAAAGAATGGGATGCACTACTCAACTTGCAATTTTAGCTTGGAGAAGGATCAGAGGAAAGGGTTAAAAAAAAGAACAAAAATAACTGTAGCTTTGGCTATTGAAATTTTAAGGCAGCTGTAGATTTCTGTACACATTGCTTGTAATACTCATTAGTGACAATGACCAAGCAAAAGAATAACCAAGTGCAGAAAGATGTACCAAATTTGGTGTTCCCTCTTCACGAACTTGTACAATCACTACGAAGACTCTATTATCAAAGAAATAAGGAAAGGGGTGACATTTGGCACCAGATATTCGGAAGTGTGGAAGAGCAGCTGTGAAAAGCGGAACAACCATTAAAAACGGCGATTGTTGCGTTAAGCCAATAAATACACGTGTCTTTTACATACTATTTATTACTTAACAATTGTTAAATAAATTTATCACTTAACATAATAGATAATTGTAGGTTGACGTAAAAGAGTGGGTAAGTAGCTTCCCCCAACTCCAAGTCCCTAGAAAATAAGGCACAAAGATCTGTTGAGCTGTGGCATGAAGTGTTATCAAAGATGGGTAATAGTATTAGCAAATCAGATAATGTGTAATAATAATTTTTAATATCAAAGATTGATAATAAGACTGATTGGAATGGCGATATAAAATTAAGAGTTGAAATAGTAATGAAAAAAAATGACTCCGTTCAAGAGTCAATTTCTTCCTGATTATTTTCATAGAAAAATCCTTGGTAGGGAGCACTTTCCCCAGAATAGGATCCTACGCGGCACAAATCTGAATATAGTCGAGCTCAAATGCGAGTACCGAGTGGGAAACCAAAAAAATTTTAAGGGCCCATTTGGCCTTAATTTTTTTATTTTAAAATTAGTGTTTGGACATTAAAATTTCAAATTTCACTTGAAGTTGAACTTCGAAAATTTGAAAAACTCCGATAAGCTATTTTTCAAAATTTCCAGTTCAAATCACTCGCAAAAATTCAAACAACTCCAAACTGTATTCATGTCCAAACACAACTCTAAATTTCAAATATCATTTTAACCTGAAAACAAGTTCACAGTTCTTATGTCCAAACATCCACTTATTTTATAGCCATATACATAGTTTGTATACTGATTATATATAATTATATATATATATAATACATAAATTATACCTCCACTGGCTATTTTAGTTTAAGCAGTTGAGTGAGCGATTATTTGGGTAAAGATGCCAAATTATTTTTCAGAAATTACTTTCTGTTATTGACCACAGAAAGCTAAACTTTTCAATTGGACTTGAGCTGACGGTCTAAGAGGTCTGGCCCAATACCCATCACATGGCATTAGCCCTCCGTGTAAAAGCTACCAACGACCTTTGGTTACTCACAAAAAGGACAAAAAACAGTTATTGCATAAACTCCTTTTCCCCGGGAAACATCGAGTGGATAACAAGAAAAGAGCCCCCATTAAAACTCAGTAACCAAACAGAAATTAAAAGAAAAGAAGAAAAAAATAATCCCTTCTTCTTGTCTCTGAATTCAAATCTTCAACTGTTAGAATCGCAAAAGATTCCTCAAATTAATCTTGGGTGTATCTTGACTGGAGCTATGACTTTGGGCGCTGAATGGAAGTTCTCTCAAGTTTTTGGTGAACAAACTCCCGGTGAAGATATTCATGATTGTAAACTCTCTTTTACTTTTAGTGAAATTTTATGTCAATGAACTCCAGTATTATGTGTATTTCATGCTTTGGAATGAAATGTGTAACATTTGTTTCTAATATATCATAAGTATGAGCAGCTTATAAAAAATTAAAATTAAAACTAAAATTAAAATATGAGTGGAAATATTCTTAGTTGAACTAGTCTTTTCTTTATGAGGCAAGTCTAGGGCCGGAAGGAAATCTGTTGCTGCCCTTAATTGGATGCTGTAGTTTTATACATGAAATCTTGAAGCCTAATAGGGTAAACTTGTTTGATTTCTATAGCAAAATGAAGATTTAGAAACTGGGATGGAGGTTCAGTTCCAGCAGGTGACATATTTTGCTGATCCCACTAGCAGTTGGACATATGTGTCTCAGTAGTAGTAGTAGCACCAGCAGTTGTTATTGTTGTTGATTGTGGAATAAGGATACTTCTGAATTTTGAACGTCCAGTGTTCAGTTGATGCTAGCAGAAAGAATTCTATAGAATTTTCCAACAATTCTCTATGATTAAGAATGAGAAGCAGGTTTTGAATATGAAGTTGAGAAAAAGGCACCTTTAATGGAGGGCCATTGGGAACTTTGTATTCTTCTGTTATGCTTAGATATGTCAATCATTGAATTGAATAAGGTTATGCTTTAGAAGTTCAATTGGGGGCTTAAGTTGATGAGGCTCTCACAATGCAAGGGGTATTTGGTTTACTCTTTTTTGTTAGCCATGTCTGGTTATGTTGGTTATATGAAGCTGGTGGAGAACATGAGGAGAATCAATAGCATAGAGTCAAAAAGAAGGAATTGTCCACAAAACAATCCATTAAATCCACTCGTTATATATGTGGCATGACGAAGAACTTTTCCATCCTTTGAATGAGAAGGGAGGTTGAACGGATATGAGGATTGCTAAAAAGCAGGAAGGCTTGTTGAGGCCAAACTGGTTATATTATGGAAAATAATTCTTACATTTCATTGAATATGTTGGACCACATTCACACACATTTTACTTTATCTAATACTAGATTTACCTTGAAATTCTGTTATACCTGGAAAAAATATTGGTTACCATTGATTTTTTTGTACCTTTGCATGTGACTGCTGGTGCAGGACTTTATACATTTATAACGTTTTATGCATTAACTTGGTTAACTTCACTTAAAGAAGTTTCCTTGGGGTAGGAGAGCAGTTACATAGAAAGGGATTTCTCATATTTTTATAGTGAAAACCTAAGTTGCGCGGACTCTTCGATTTTGGTGCCGTCCCCGTCCCCGTCCCGGTACGAGACGGGGACGGGAGCGGGATACGTCCCGGATTCGGTCAACTGACTTCGGACACTTTGACCAGAGTCCATCGACAAATTTGGGAGAAAAATTGAGATTTTAATTTCTCAAAATAAAAAATAGAACAGATTTAGGAGAATGAATGAATAATGTCCATCTTGGAGAATGAAAGATTGAATTCTACCATATTCATGTAAGTTTTTCACAGAATATCTTTCAAAATTTACAATATTTTTATAGCTCTATTTTTATTAGCCGAATCCTCGCACCCATATCCATATTCGGATCCGCACCCCCGAATCTTAAAGTTTAGATTTTGCCGAATCCGATACTTGGACCCGTCCCCGTATCGGATACCTGCACCCGAGTCCGAGCAACTTAGGTGAAAACTAGAAAAAGGAAAAGCCAACTTTTCATTGTATTTCAGCTATTAAAAATGAAACAGCAAAGAGATGTTTAGCTCTAGTTTCCTTATTTTTCCCTCTCACCTGAAAAGGAGTGATTATGAACCAAAGAAATAACGGAGCAAGAAGGGAATTGGTGTTACTTTTATTTCTGCTTTAATATTTCTTGATGGCCTGCACATAACCAGATTCTATGTTAGGTGATATTTTATCTGCAATTGAATTTGACAAGAATGGCGATCATCTTGCTGTTGGAGATCAAGGTGGACGTGTCATAATTTTTGAGCGGCAGACTGGTAAAGAAGTGCGGACAAAATTTTCATAAATATCATTTGTGTAAATATGAATTCAGCCGGCACTATTCTTTACTTTCTTGAGTGTCATATTTAAACTTTGTATCTCATGTAATCTTTTCACCTTTATGGTCTTGTAGGGTCTATTTGACAGAAGTTCTCGACGTGACTCTGGTCAGTTCAACCTTCCACTTTGGCAGCATCCTGAATTTAAATATAAGACGGAATTCCAAAGTCATGAACCCGAGGTATGAGCTAGGTTTTCATCTTATCTAGTTCTGCATACATCTTTTAAGGCTTCTACTTAAATTTTTCATCTGTAGGTGATAGTTATGAACTTTGGGTGCTGATCATGTTACATCTTCTTCAGTTTGATTATTTGAAGAGCGTGGAAATTGAAGAGAAGATTAATAAAATCAGATGGTGTACGAAACTCAATAGATCATTGTTTCTTCTTACAGCAAATGACAGGACGATAAAACTTTGGAAGGTATGAAATTCCTGTGGCATTCGATAATCTTCAGACGAGTTTAAATTTAAGAAAGAAAGGGTTCTGGTGCCCCTCCAAATAAAAGATTCTATATCGGGAGCCTTATCTTTCAGCATCAAAAGATTGATAATTAGAAATGCATGTGAAGTAGTACTATCTTTTTTTATCTTTTAAGATATTTCTGACTAAGATACTTAACTTGGTTAGATGCAGCTTTCTGAACTAAGAACTGTATCTAAATGTTCATCTATTTGTGACATACACCACACATGAAAAATAAAAACAGTGGGAAAATAAAAGAAGATTTCTCTGTGGTGAAAGTTAAGTATTAGCTGCATTGCATGTTCAGAGTGTAAAGATTGATTTTTTATCTGTGCATTACGGAAAAAAACCCGGATGGCGTGTTCTTTCTTGATGAACTAAGATCCACTTGTCGGTTTCCATCTACTGTAACCTTACTAAGTTGTACAAATCAATTTACTGTTTTCTTCATTTGTTTCTTTTGCAGATCAAGGAACAGAAAGTAAAGAAAGTTAAACAAATGGACATCAACCCATTTGTGACTTCAGAGAATTCTCTTTTAGCTGATAAAAGTTTCGTGAGTGGACAAAGTGAACCATCTCATGCTAATAGTACCAGGCTAGAATGGACCGACAAAATGAATGGCACGTTGCCCTCACATGTAGGACATGGAAGAGTGTTAATATTCACGCATTCTTTATTACATTTACTTCCCCAAATTATATGCATTTGACATGCTGTTATAGCTTGTGATTCCAGCTACTGTTGTAAATAGCTTGCAGATATCACAAATGTGGCTTCTAGAAGATGCAGAAGTGTGTATGCACATGCTCATGATTTCAACATCAATTCCATCTCAAACAATAGGTATTCTTCTGTTCTTGCGAATATTATGAACTTTAAACTTGCTCACTTGAAATGAAATTTGACCAGCCCTTGTTGTTTGTGTTTCTGATTGAGCTTGATCGATGACCAGAGGTATCCTTCTATAAGTAGCAGTACCAGAGAAACTCAATAGTGTGAAAGCTGTTTACCAGTTGAAAGAGTGCCAGGCGTTAGATAACTCTCTGGTTTTTAATACTTTTACAGCGATGGTGAGACATTCCTTTCTGGAGATGACCTTAGGATAAACGTATGGAACCTTG